CAACCGGAAATTAGGGAAACTTGAGCGACCAGTTTAAAACCTGCGTAAGTGATTAATCCCTTTACTGACAGCTCCGACTCTCACAGGAGTCTGTGATGCTAATACTGAAGTTAAATTAAAAGTGAACGAACGGTTAAGTCACATAATGACTGGACTCCTTTGAAAGAAACAGAAGTCACTCTCCTAGAGGCTCTGATTAATCTCTGGCAGCAGTGAACCTGTTGCCGACTCTGTCTGCACTCTGTAACTTTACCTCCCAGACTTGGTGGCCTTTCTTTTCCACTTGACTAACTCCCTGCAACAAGACTGCTTTAACGCCAGAAGCTACCCCCTTCTGTCCCCCAGTAATCAAAACCTCTTTATCCAACAGTGCCAGCGTCTTTATCTCTGTTTTCCTCCCGCATACACTCCTTTCTAAATGACCTCTCGCAAAATCCAGCATTCTTTTTGACCTTCCTAATTCTTTCTTTCCTCCTCCTCGTTTCTTCCTTCACTACCCATATCCCTGCACTCGCACTCTAATAATATCCCTAATAATTTTCCCCCAGTAAAATTGCCAAATCCGAGAAGGACCACCTACCCCAAGGCCCAGACTCTGCCTCCCCCAGAACCAGTGCCCCGGGACGGGGGTCAAAGTGAGGGACAGCTGGCAGACCTCCCAGCAGCCTGGAGGAGCGGGTGTGGGGTTGGAGGACCGGGCTGACCCCAGTCAGATGGTGGTCTGGCTCCCAGGTAAAAAACATCTGGTCCAGTGATGGGAGGGTGGTCGCACACGCGCATTCAAAACTGACACACGCCTGACTGCATGAGTGCTCCTGCCTTCTCTAATGAACTCACACACACACACACAAACGTACACACACACTCTCTGACTGGCTGCTTTATTAGTCATTAGCACAAAAAAGCTTTGCCCTCGATCAGTCTCCTCAGCAGATGACGGCTAGTGGCCGCCGTAGTTGCGAACAGCTGGCCAGACAGAGCTCGCTGGTAGCTGAAGCTCACAGGCTCTACAGACGGACCGAGGTCCAATTACTTCTTTACTGGTAGATTTACTGTGCAAGTGTGTGTGCGAGACAGAGAAAGTGAGAGAAAAGAGAAAGCACCAGAGTGATTTATGCCTTTTTGGAGAGATAAGAACGCAGGAAAAAAAAACATGAGGTGGGAAATTTTAAAATATGAGCAGGCATTCAAAGATGGAAAATGGTGGGAAAGAAAAGTATATTCAGGAAAAGATTCAATGAAGAAAAACTCTGACACCTAAAAAAAAAAACACTCCCACAGCCACAGAGAATTATTAAATTCCCTTTTCAGTGGAAAGCACCCAAACCATTATTAAGCACGAAAATATGAAATATGGTCACTGCAGGCTAAATGCTGCGATGTGTGTGGCTTCTCCTTTCTCATGATGAGATAAGGGGAGCGGAGATAGCCAGAGAGACAGCTGTTGTCTGCTGACAGCCCAGGGTTTAATACACACACACACAGGCTACACACACATCAGCACGAGGCCTCCCCGGGTGCTCTCTGGGGCTTAAGGGAATTAAAAAGGGGAGTGAAGGGTGGGAGAGGGGAAGACATTTAGGGGGGGAGTGTGATTACTTTTCGAGCCTCGAACTCTTCGAGAGCCAACAGATCGACCAACAGTGCCACCAGCATCTTGTTCCAATCCTGAGCCTGGTTTCACTATATACTAAACATATTGACATGTACGCACACAGATCTCACAGCACACCGGACACACCACTTCTCAATGCATTATACCTGCAATCGAACCCCTCACACACACACGTGACAAACTATTTTGCAAACAATTCAGTGACTCCGTTATCTTAAAAATTTTCTCGTCTTTATTATATTGTCACCTTCTGCTTTAACGCTCAAAGAGCTCTCACAAAGGACAGCGGACAGCTTTCTTTTTATGCAGACAGCTGCACATATCAGGCTACATTCACAATTGCTTCTTCTGAAGTTGTATAAAGTTCAGAAGCAGTCCTTCCATGAGCTGAAACCTAAGACTCACTTAAGAGACGGAAATTTGTGATTTTTATTAACCTATAGTTTGACTTAGAAAACCTAGAGGACTAGACTTCAGTCCACGGAGACCCCTCAAGGGGATACGTAGACACAGTTACAGACAAAAACTAAAGAGGACAGTGACACTAGCTGCTCAGTGATGAGAAAATATACTAGAATAAAAAGAAAATGACGAGATAAATAAAAATACAAATGCAAACAAGTGCACTCTGGTAACATTGAGTGCTTACTTAAAGGCAGACGTTGTTTTAGGAAACTTTATGAGGTTGGTTAACTCTTTTGAGGTCTTTTCTACAGTGCTGGAATTATTCCTGTAGCTTTGTTTAAGTAATCTGTTTCTCACATTATCAAACTATTAAAAATAAAGTACACGGTGTTGGAATACAGTCATGGAAATTAAAATCAGCAGCTTACCACGTCACTTTGGATGGATGTCTGAATAAAAACACAAAGTCAGTCATAACTGAAAAAGACAAAAACTTTCCGGCCCCAAATATCCACAACACTCGCTTCACTGCAGCAAATGAAACTGTGCTAAATGACTTTTATATTAACACTGCATACCACTCATAAGTTTGGTTTGTTAGGGTGATAATTAATGAATTAATTTTAGTGTAAGAGGATGAATATGCAGCCCCTTGTTTGGTTGCATTTTTCAGTCCCTTTGGCTTGTGGGTAATAAGCAGGCTGCTGTTTCTCTTGTGTTGTCTTTAATTCTCATCAGTCTACTGCAAGACAGCGTAAATCCAGCATCACTATTTGACTCTAAGTTAACCTGTCTCCGCTTCACTACCACCTGTCCCCCATGAAACAACGGCAGGTAGGAGCAACATAAATAAAGTATGGTGACTTCAGTTATTTAAATAACCCAGAAATACAATGTGTACACTAAGGCTATAAGGGTCGCCCTGGTGTAACCTTGAGTTCACCAAGGCTGCTTGATTCCCAGAGAGTAAGAGAGGAAGAGGAGGAGAGCGATGCACAGAAGCTGGGAGACATCAAGAGCCGTGCGGCTGCGAAGAAATATAATGAAATTGGTGCAGATAAAGTCAGGAAGAGCAGAGCTTCCTATGAAAATATTTATCATTCCACAAACGTTTGGCTACAGAGGGCTTTGGAATTAATTTGTGTTTTCTTAAGAGGGGGTGCCTCGCGCTACAGGATGGGGAATTCTCCACAGCCCGGGACTTTTTTTTTTGGGCTGCCGCTTATTCACAATTTATTAGAGGTAGTAATAGGAACCATGAAGGCTGAGGAGAGAGAAGCGGAGAGGCTGAGAGGGACCCGGCCCAGCCATGGAGAGGGAGTCCAGAAATGGGGCCTAATGTTATTAAGAGAAGAACCGCAGTGTTAAATCAAACACGCCCGAGCACACACCTTCGGTATGTGGTCTGAGCCACCCTCCCCTCATCTCCCCCTCCTCCAACACCCCTCCATCGGGACTCTTGGATGTTATTTGTGGGGGTTAGAATACAGGTATATTAGGAGATTTACAATCCGTCACAGAGCTGAATCTGATACAGCGACTATCTAAAATAAGAATTTTTGGCTTGGTGTTACCCCTGCAGGTTTATTTCAGATAACTGACACTGACAAGCAAAGACATACATAAAATTAAGAAATGTGTGTGACATTTTGGGGGGCAGGTAAATTGGAAACGCATTTAATTCAAGTAAAACTTTGCAACAAAGATGATAGTCGTGAAAAAAGGTCTTTCTATGCAGACACAAAACCAACATTTCATAGTTCAAATCCGCAAATAGAAATTTAAATTTGAGATGTTACAATCCCACGTATTTCACTAATATTCCGTACATTTTAAACGCCATGACAAAAATTATTCCCATACAAGAAAATGTCACATTTCTTCACTTTAAATCTATTTATTTACATTATTTCCCAAAAACCAAAGGCACCCATTAAATCCTCGCGCCTCCAGCTGATAGACATGCTCAAAGGTGATTTAAACAGGATTGGAAAAACACAGTAAGTGAGTTTCTAAGTCTGGAGCCATGAAGGGGTCCTTGAAAAATATGAATACCAGCCTTTGAAAAATGCTTAGCGAGGCTCCCCTAATTTACTTAATGAGGGTCCCTGCATGGCTGCTGAGTGAGTGAGTGAGTGAGTGAGGGGGGGGTGTCAGTGATTTCAGTGTAATCTTCTGTACTTAAAGCCGAAAGCAGAAAAGTGTTGCAGCGGTTCAGCCAGCACCAAGAAAAACAAAGGGGGCTCAATGTGAAGAGAAGGTGGTCTCTCAGTGGACAAATAACTGATCTGTTTTGGAGGGTTTTTCTTTTTTTTTTTTTTCTGCTCTTATTAATGACTCTTAGAGTGAAATGAAAGGAATAAAAGAAAGCTGAATAGTAGAGTAGAAAAGGATGTGATGATATCAAGAACATTTCCAACTACAATGGAAATAAAACTAATTAATTTTACAATAATCTACCTTTTTCTGCATTAGTTTGTCTACACATGAATTTCACATGTGTTAGAGGCCTTTAAAATAAATTTCCCTTCTAGGATTTAGGTAATAATTAAATAAATATATGTCTTTGTTTTCTCAAGTTCTCACATTATATGAAAACACACCTTTTAAAACACCCATTATTAAATTATCCTAAGTGTAAAGCTAATTAGAGAGACCAGATGGAGTTCTTAAAATCAACTGGAAATATTAAATAATTTAATATTTGCTCTAATGTTTATTTTAATTACTTAGCATGCTTTGATATTTGATTTGAAGATAAATTTAATTAAAACTTACTGGGACGATAGGGGCCATTCTTCTGACCTAATGTGATGTTTATTTAGAAGATTATCTAAATTAAACACAGACACTGGAATAGAAATGTGTCCCCGGACAGAAATATGGACTCTTAAGGCTATTTTATAAATCCAAATCACTAACACACGATGTCATGGCCGTGCTGGATGCATAAAAACAAGCTGGAGCATTTCACACTCACCATTATTCACACAGAGGAACGCGCAGGACACAATCCGAGTATCAGTCAGAGCGCTTGTCTCTCCATGCCCAGAGGACTCCGCAGACTTCTCTCAAGTGTCCCGGCTAAATCAGTGACACCCAAAGTGAGCGCTCCCGGTGACTCTCAGTTCCTGAGAAGAAGATGAAGAAGAAGAAGAACAAGAAGAAGAGGCACGGGCTCTCTGTCGGTGTCGAGGCTCCAGGTGCTGACAGCTGACAGCTTTGTGCGCACACACTCACTCGCATCGATCTCACTCCTCTTCTTCTGCAGCTTCAGGAGCGTGTTTGCTTTCCCGGCGGTGGGGAAGTGATGTTAAGTAAATGAGCGAAGATTTTTGGTTCCTCCCCCTCCTCCTCCTCCTCCTCCTCCTCCTCCTGAGACTTGCGCGCGCCGCACGCAGCCCTGAATGTGTGTGTGTGTGTGTGTGTGTATGTGTGCGTCAGCGCGCGCTCCCTTATCTCAACCACTCCTCTCATTTATTCCCTCAGCACAACCGCTTCACTTCTTCTTCTTCTCCATCGCTATCTCCGCTTTAAATCTTTGTTTGGTCAAGAGCTCTTCTTCGCGTTTGTTTACACAACGACCCTAAAACTATTCAGTCCTCCTCTGTGAAGGAGCGGACCCTCTGTGTGCGCTCCTGATAGAGGGATTTGTTAGTTTGTGGTAAATAACTGCAGGCTATTGACAGTGTTATCAAGGCTGTTTACCTTTGACTGTGTGTAAGTGTGGATCTGTGTGTGGGGGAATTACTAACTAGAATTGCTCACTAGCTGACATAGCAGGTGCCAGGGTTTTTTTGGAGAGGGTGCCCGTTTTGATTCAGCACTGAAGGGGACACTTATGAAAGTAGGGGTTTGGGGTCAAATATTTATATTTCCTGCTTTGTGGTGAATTTTTAATGCACTAATTTGTGCTTTAAATGTAAAATGTAGGTTAAAACAAAAGTACTCTGCTGCTTTCATGTTTTTATTGAGGAGGACTAAAGCATATTTCTAAATATTGAGGGTCCCCTGCACAATGACTAGTTAACTGTAATGAAATTTCAAAACAAATGTAATTGTAACCAGTCAGAGTTGTAAGTAAATTACAGTTACTAAGGGACTGTTCTTTACTTATCAGAGGAGGGGGGGCAGGCTGGAGTGTTTTTTTTTCTTTTACCCTCTCTGAAGCTACAGATATTTTCCCTTGAGTCTCCCTGAGTGACTTGAAAACACATGACCCTCCCTCCACTATAGTTATTGCATTTTATAAAACTTCCCCTTGAACATTTAAAAAGTTAAAAGCTGAAATCCTGGAGTTGAAAAAGGCCTCGGTTTTTCACTTTTGTTGTATGGTTAGTTTGTGCAAACCGTTTGTTTTTGTCCATAAGCTCAGATTTGGTTATGTTTTTTCTGACAAAGTGTTCATTGCACGACATGTTCAAGGACTGTTGGAAATTTGAAAAACCAACATTAATTTTTGTTTTTACAGTTTCTGGCTATGATAAATAGTGTAATTTTGGTGATGCAGGTGGGTTTGGAAGGCGTGTTTTCTTTGAATCAAATACAAAATACAGCCATTTAAATTTGATTTGTATGCCCCTCCCCTAAGCCAAAAGAAAAACAGAAGTCCCTACTTTGTGCTTAAAAAATTATTGGGCATGCTTCAGCATTTTTGCACCACCCTCTTCCCTCTCATAAATAACAAACAGTCCCTAATTAAAATGTTGGTGATTACAAAGGCATTACGTCCGAATATATTCTTTCCAGTAAAAAGTTTATGTTGAATGTAACATTCATTCAGCTGCTTTGCATCCTTTTAGAAGGCCTGCTTTTGGTATAGCCTATCTCCGCACATTTTTCAGCTTTATTGCCCAGTTTAAAACATTTGTCAGAAAAGAAATCAGAGAGTAATCAAAGTTAATCAGTAACATTACTTTGATGAAGTAATTAAAATAGTTTCATTACTTGTTACATTTTGAAAGGGTAACTAATCAAAGGGTCAAAGGTCAACGTGAACTTAATTGTCGGTCAAACCATACAATAAGCAATTGCACAGTAGAATAAAATGAAATTACGTTTCTCCACACTCCAATGTGCTGGTTTGTAGCAAACAACATTTAACATAAAAAGTAGTGCACACAGACAGCAAGTTCACCTAAATACAATACTATATAACCTATTAAATTTCAAAAGTAACCTTCCCAACACTGCCCCTGTGAAAGATATGTACATACAATACTACACAGTAAAAACATGATGACTCCTGACAAGCAAAGCAACTTAATTGAAGTAAAACACACAGCAGATGTATTAAAAGTAATAGTACTCATGCAGAATGCCTCCTTTTAAAGTTATATTAATGTATGTTATTATTGAATTATTATTACTGATTAATTTAAAAGCAGTGTTTTAATGCTGTAGCTGTGGTGTGAAGATAACTGAACTAAAATGTAAATGAAGTGGAGTGGAAGGTGTACTGTTTCCCTAATCATATATATGCAAAAAAACAACATAAATTTAAAATTTGCATATGCCTCGAAGAGTACAGTGAACTAGATGTACTTTCCACTGCTGATTATTTATCGTTTGATCCAAAATAGATAAGCAAAAGATATCTCTTGAATATGGAAAACAAGCTGTACACTGTTTTAAATATCACAGTAGTGTAAAATGGATCCCAACCGTTTATCAAACCTCCACATCTATTAGATGATACATATCATATTTTTTGATTTGTGAACTCTAATCAGTCCACTCTTTAAAATCTGCTTGATATGATGGTGTCTTTTTAGTTTCAGCCCTAAAACCTGCTGTAATAGCTGTAAAATCATATTTAGACTCAGTTTCAAGACCCTTAATCATAACACTGACATCTCGACATTTGTGTTGTCCTTTTCCCAAATTACCCAGGCCTATATAAATGTTCTCGTTTCTTCCTGACATTTCTAGAATAAATTATCAGGCATCGAACCCATTTTTAAATTCTTAGGTTCTCATTTTCAACCCTGGGCCTGGAGCACATCACCTGCTCCTGGTTGTGTATATGGGAAATGTCAAAGATCTTTCAGGGTAACCAAAACAGGTCATGTTGATGTGTCATCCTAACAACACCTGCTGACCTGAAGAAAAGCAATATCTGGCAGTTTAGAGTGCAACCATCATAATTTCCCCTGAAATGGAGGAGGCACAATGCAGGTGTCTCATCCTCTGCCTGTTTGTTTAATATAACCAGAATATGTGTGTGTTTGTGCCTGCGTTATGTGTGCCCAACTCCTGTGTGCCATTGTCTCTGTGTGTGTATTCTGTAACATGAGGAAGAGTGTGTCGGAGCTGGGAGCCATGACTCAGGAGGAACACGGTTCTCCTGAACGGGGGACAACAGGATGCCCTCGCTGACACCGTCTCGACACCCGCAGACATGGATACGTGAGGGCACCTGGGGGAGATCCATGCTACTTTGCATCTGGGCGAGTGTCGGCATCGCTGACCTTTCTGAATAAAAGAAAAGAACATCCTCGAGGGTGATGGGGCTTTCAAAAACGCTGGATAACAACACGTGTCCCGGGTGAAAAGGTGTGTTTTTTGTGAGATAAGGGCAAAAACAGGAGGAAGAGAGATGGAGGAACTGGTTGCTGCCACATCTTAATTATAATCTGCAAATCACAACAAGATATCATTAGGAAACATTGATAAAAGAATTAAAGATATTAAACTTGTCCTGTAAGATGGAGGCCTCCTCTGAAATTAAAGGAAAAGCCATTGTCTTACACTAAAAAAAAAAGTCCTTGGATGAATTCCAGTTATTATTTTCTGCTGAAATGCTGTAATTCATGACTCCATTTCCTTGACTCAACATATCAAGAATTACTTCATGAAGTAATTTTGCACGTTACTGAGAAGTACTTCCAAAAGTCCCCCCCCCCCCCCCCCCACCCCCAGAGAATGTGCCTCAACACGTTGCGTTTGGCACACGTCAGCTGTAAGAGTGATAGCGACAGCAATAAGGAAGAGGGAACATTTTCCAGTCGAGAAAATGATTTATGGCGCTCACACAATACACAGCATGGCTTGTAGCTACAGCAATGCATTCTGGTCCTGTCAGTGAAGAAACTTGTGTCTCTATGTTGCGTAATGACTCATAGGTTTGGTATGGCTTATGGTATTTGATTGTGAACAAATACAAAAACTTATTCTAACTACTTACTAATTTCAAACCTGTTTTCAGTGTTCATTCTGCATCAGTGAGTGATTTATGTTTAATGACAGTGTTCAGGGCCAATGCAGGATGTTACAGTGCAGCGCAGGGAGTCAGGGAAAGGTCATTTAAGCAGTTGCCTTCAGTGAGAGTGATAAATGTTTCTCTGTCTGTGTTATCCAGCCAAGTTTGTACGTTCAGAAGTGTTTTTCTGATCTTACAGTTTAAGTTAAGTTTTTACCCATACAATGATACAATTCTGGCTGGCAGTAGTTTTTAATTTAAATATGTCCCTTTGCTGATTGTATGTTAGGTCTGTGCAGTCTATGGAAATGGTGGATTTAAAAATTTGTTTCACCTAAACAGCAACCTCTGGGGCTGAAAAATGAAGCCAATGCAAAAGTGCCAAACACTGCAGTTCCTCCAATGGCCACTTGAGGCTGATTCCCAAATCAATCCCCAAAGACCCCCATGTTAAAATTCCCAACTTTACAGCAGAAATAAACATGTTCACAGTCTGATACCAAAACGATTTTGGTCTCTTTCGCTAATTTCCCCCTTCATGACAGCTGTACTGTATATAACTCACCCGTTTGCAATTTATTAAAGCTTAAAATTACACATAATTAAGGGTGGTGCCACTTTGAGTGACAGGCTGTCTGCAGATAGTGTTCTCGGCTTCTCAGTCAGATCCACCGCTTACTCCTGGAGTCTATAAATCAATAGGTGATGCAACCCGTTCTCACTTCGACATTGTCGAAATCTGGTGTTTGGTCAGTGACTTCTGACGTCATACACAGATAGAAAAAGCTGTCCTTTCATGTCGGCATGATACGCCTTTATTGTTTAAAGCTGGCCAGCCCCATCAGTGGATATTATGGTGAGACACCAGTGAAAGTTAAGGTGGCAGAAGTCTGAGCTGGGTTGGCAGGAGGGGTGGTGGATGGGTCCAACAACCACGGATTTTCACCTGGGAGTCTGGTGTTTGCTTCCTGTAAGATTGCAAAGCCAAACTTTGGTCTTTTTCCCCAAACCCAACCACATGCTTTTGTTGTTTAAGAAAAAACGGGAATTTGCGGTGTTGTACCAGCGTAATGTGTTTATTTTGAAAG